GCTCATAGCAGCACTAGATTACGGCACTAGGCAATTCACAATAGCCAAAAGGTAGAAACAGTCCAAATGTCCATCAGTGGATAAATGGATACACTGACTGTGGTATATCCATACAGTGGAGTATTATTCAGCCATGAAGAGGAATGAAGTTCCAATACATGCTACAATGTGCATCAACTCATAACTAAGTGAAAGAGGCCAGACACGAAGGTCACATGGGGAACAAGTGCTTAATGGGTGCAGGGCTTCCTTTTGGGGTGAAGAGAATGTTCTGGAACTAGATGGAGGTGGCTGCTGTACCTCACACCCATTATTATGCATACCATCAAAAAAAGAGAAAACAAGTGTGGACAAGGGTGCAGAGAAACTGGAACCGTTGTGTACTGTTGGTGGGAAAGAAAATGGTGCAGCTGCTGTGGAAAACATCTTGGTGGTTCCTGAAAAAATGAAAACTAGATTTACCCTATGATCCAGCAATTCTATTTCCGAGTAAATATCTGAAAGAATTGAAAGCGGCGTCTCAAAGACAAAGCACATACGCATGTTCACAGCAGCAATATTCACAGGAGCTAAAACATGGAAACAACTCAAGCGTTCATGGATGAACAGATGAGCAAAATGTGGTCCATCCGTACAACGGAATACTATTCAGCCTTAAAAAGGAATGAAGCAGTGACACACGCTACAACTCAGACGAGCCTTGAAAACACGACACTAAGTGAGAGAGGCTGGACCCAAAACAACACGTGTTGTACAATCCCTTTTATGTGAAATATCTAGACTAGGCAAATCCACAGAACAGAAAGCAGATTAGAAGTTGCCAGAAGATGGGGGTGGGAGGAACGGGGAGATGAAAACTCTGAAACTGGAGAGGCAGTGACTGCACAACACTGTGAAGGCTCTAAATGCCACTGAACTGCACACTTCAAAATGGTTACCTGTATGTTACGTGAATTACACCTTAATTAAAAACATTTGTTTTTAGGGGGCCAGCCCTGTGGCCAAGTGGTTAAGCTCATGTGCTCTGCTTCAGTGGCCCACGGTTCACCAGTTCAGATCCTCGGTGTGGACCTAGACACTGCTCACCAAGCCACTGCTATGGAGGCATCCCGCATAGAAGAGCTAGAACGACTTACAACTAGGATATACATCTATGTACTGGGGCTTTGGGGAGAAAAAAAATAAAAGAGGAAGATTGGCAACAGATGTTAGCTCAGGGCCAATCTTCCTTCCCCCTGCCCCCAAAAAATTTTGTTTTTCCAATTGTGGTGTCGTAGAAAGATATTTGGTCTTTGTCCTCAGTTCCTGGCACAGATCTGCTAAAATCCTTGGAATTTCCTGAGAGATAGGAGCGTCTTTTGTTCTAATGAGGCGACTCTCAGTGGGCCCCTAGACAGCCTCAGGATGGGGCTCGTCCCCAGAAAGACAGTCTTGATGAGAAGCTCGGAACTTTCTTCCCCACCTCCCGACCTCCGGGGCGGGGAGAGGGCTGGAGATTAGTCCCCAGTGGCCAATGATTCAATCGACCAGGGCTGCACAATGAAGGTGTCCTAAAACCCCTAACCTGAGGGCTCGCAGGGCTTCGCCGAGGTGAACACGGGAGGTGCTGGGGGCGGGGCGTGGACAGGAAGGGCGTGGAAGCTCCACAGCCCTGCCCTGTCCCTGCCGTGCATCTCTGCCCTCTGGCTGTTCTGGAATTGTACCCCACACAGTAACCCGGGCAACAGTAGGCAAGTGTTATCAGTTTTGGGGCTGTTCTGGCAAATTACAGAACCCGCGGAGGGGGTCGTGGGAAGCCCCGATCCATAGCTGGTCGGTCAGAAGCGCGGAGGCCTGGACGTACGACCGGCATCTGCAGTGGGGACAGTCCCGTGGGGCTGAGCTGAACCCACGGGGTCTGCGCTGGTCTGAGTAGACAGGGTCAGAATCGCACTGGCCTGCTGGACCCTCTGCCGGCGTCTGGAGTCGTAGAGCTGCAGAGGCGGCGTCGGAAGAGATGCTGTGCACTTGGTGTCAGCAGTGACGGGAGGAGGAACGGCTCGACAACGCACGGGTCGTGCGTCTGAGACCAGACAAAGCCCCCATGTTCTTTCCTCTCAGGAAAAGAGCGATTTATCTGTAACAGAGCGTCCTGCTGACAGGTCGAAAGGCATGTGGCCTCAGAGGAGCCCCAGCGCCGCACACCACGTCCAACAGAACCCCTTCCCTCCGCAGGCGGTGCCACGTCCAGGGTCAAGCGCGGCCAAGAACACCTCGCACGCATGCCAGGAAAGGTCCCGGCCTGAGACAGCCTTTTCTGCTCCGGGTCGAGCCGCCCCCTCACCAGAGAAGCCAAACCCCCGCCTTCCCGTCTCTGGACCCTCCAGCTGCTCTGGGCCTGGGAGCCTCAGGAGGGGCCGCCTCCTCCACGCGGCCTTTCACCGGGTTAACGGGGAAGAGGCCACACACGCTGCTGAAGGGCTGGACGTGCTGGGGACTGGGCCGGGGGACCTGCCGTCTGCCTCCCTCTGAACCTTCTCCACAGCCCCGAGGAACAGATGCGGTGAGGAAGCCCAGCTCAGGGCCAGAGAAACTGAGGCCCAGAGCAGCAACCTGTCCAGTCACTGCCCCCTGCTTACATCTGCGAGCCCAACTTCCCTTAGCTGCGAATGCAACCCTTGCCCCCGGGAGGGGAGAAGATTACCAGGTCACTCACAGTGACCCTGTTCCAACCAGGATTCCAACTGCGGAAGCTGCTTTTGCAAAAGCACCTTTTTTCGTTTTCGCTTTTCCACAACTAGTCCGATCTTTACAAAACTTCTAAAGCAGGGACCCACCTTTAGACAACATTTGCACAACACAATACATAAAATAATACTGTGCCTGTTGCCCAAATGTAAGGAGAAACCAGACTTTGTGACCGGCTGTCATTCCAGGTCACATCTGCCTCGGGGACTTAAGCAATGGGTGTGCACACACGACCACATGCTCTGCTGGTTCGAATCCCAGCTCTGCCCATCACCTGGACCATGTGACTGGGTACCCCGAGCTCCTTCATCCCAGACTGGGGATCGCCTTCCTCTGGGGCTTGTCTGGAGGCTAACCAGCACCCGCTAGCAGAGCACCTGGCACCGTGCCACACGCCGCCCTGCAGGACCTATGACCTGACTCGCACCCCAGGCTCCCCGTGCTGGGCCTCGCCTCCCAGGTGCCCTCAGTGCAGGGCGGCCCTCGACAGCTCGGAGGGCAAAACCGCTACCAGAAGAGAGGATTCCAGTCACAGGATGCAGGGCACAGGAGAGACCCCAGCTCTCGTCCTGAGCGAGAGAACACGCTGGGGCTCTGAGGACAGGCCCCCGTCGTCCGCACACGCTGCGGAGAGCTTTCTACAGGGGGACTCACGTGGTCTCCCCATCACCCAGGGGGCGGGGCTGCTGTCACCATGCTGTGTCCACAGCCTCCCACACCCGCCCCGGGACTTGCCCAGCACTGCTGCCCCTGCCTTCACAGTCCGTGCCCCGCTTCCCCACGCTCCCGACGTTTCCCCCAGGCGCCTGCCGAAGAGACACGGGGCTCCTGCCCGCGCAGACTGTCTGCTCTTCTCTCGACGGGGCCGGTCCCCAGGCCTCTCCGGCCTCGAGTCTACAAAAGCCTCGGGATCACCCAGGCTTCTGTGAACTGGGCCCGAGAGGCCCCACAGCCAAATCCCGCTGACTCGCGCCTGCTAAAATGTCACCGGGCTCCCAGCGGGGCAGCACACCTGAGCCCCATCCCCAGAGGCCCTGGACGCCAGGTGGTTTACAGAACAACCCGGTATAAATAAGAGACTGTCAAGTGAGCAGTGGCATCCGTGGGCGTCCCAGGGAGGCCTCGTCCCTGAAAGATGGCAGAGCTGGGCCTGCAGCCAGTGTAGCGGCACTGGTGCCTCGGCCAGGCCACCTCTGAGCCAGGCAAGGTCATGCTGGCCTCTTGGTGGCGCCTGTGAGAAGAAGCAAAGGCAGGCCGCCAGGAAGGGAATTTTTTAATTTTAATTATTGGGCTTTGGGGAAAAAAAAAAAGCTATGGTCTGAATGTGTCCCCCTAAAATTCACGTAGACTCCCACCCCCCAATGTGATGGTGTTAATAGCCGGGGCCTTGGGAGGAGATCAGGTCACCGGAACGGAGCCCCCATGATGGCGTCAGCGCTTCTCTAAAAAGAGACCCCATGGATCCCTCAACTCTTCCACCACATGGGGACACAGTGAGAAGTTTGTGACCCCGAAGAGGGCCCTCATGTTACCGTGCTGGCACCTTGATCTCAGACTCCGGGCCTCTAAGACCTGGAAGCCAGAAATGTGCGTCGTTTACAAGCCGCCACGTCTGCGGTATTTTGTTATAGTCGCCCGAACGGACTAAGACGACACGCGTATTCCTTCTGCTATAAATGTGTAGGAAATACGCGTGGCGGAAAATGAAACAAAAGCCCCTGTGATGCCACCACTCAGATTACCCTCGCTACCATTTCTGATGTATACAATTCCTTTTTTCTATAAATAACATACAGATAACTTGCTATTTTCATTTGACAATACTAAAAACACTTCCCCCGGCCCCAGGTTATCAAAGATTCTGTTCAGAAGATGCTCCATAAATTTAGCCCCAGTCACATCCTGGTGGACATTTAGGCAATTTCCGGATCTTTGCCACTACTCAGGCCCGGTGACCAACCCTCCAGGACCATCCATGGAACCTGGCCTGTCACGGTAGGTCGCTGCTGACTCAGGGGACCAGGCACGTTTTCAGGGCGGCTGCACGGGAAGTGGCCCGGGAGCTCCCCGGAAGCCCTCCTGCCTGCCATCAGAGCAAGCCCGGGTCGCCAGCCCTGCCTTCCAGGGGGAGATGGACACACTGCTTCGCCCACCCGCGCTCTAACATGGATGCCTCTGCCTCCGAGATCCCAACGTCCTGGCGGCCGCCCCTCGCTGGTCTGACTTCCTGTGTGTGAAGTGTGCATCCCTCGGCCACCTCTCCAGGATCCTACCTTGTTTTTGAAGTACACCTCGATGGGCATGATGAAGCCAGCGTAACCCGACTCCTCCACCTTGTAGGGGGGCTCCTTGCACACTAAAAAGGAAGGGAAAACGCATGGTCAGCTCCCCGCCTGTTCAAAGGCCCCGCCGCCAGCAGCAACAGCGAACCACCCTCCCTGCCTCCTCTCTGTGCTTCAGAGGCCCGCTGGACTGAGGATTCTCAGAAGGCCGGCGCCCCCAGGAGCACCAAATCCCCCGCCAAAGGGGGCACCGGAACAAGAAGGGCAGAGGAGAAAGGTGAGCTGGTCACACCCCAGATCGAGAGCAGAGGGGGCCGGAGACGAGCTCAGGAGAGCAGCGGAGCCAGCCACAGCCGCGCACGGGCAACTGACTCAGGGCACGTGAGTGTGACTGGGGCAAGGGGACACCCGGGGGGCCAGTCGCCCAGGCAGGGCAGTGCCCTCCACAGCATCCACCTCCTTCCACCGCTCTCTCAGACACAGGACGTGATGCCGGGAGATGGAGGCGGTCCCATCCCAGCCTGCGACTCCCTCCGGGTTCCATTTTAGTGCATGACAAAAGCCTAACCGACTCGTTTACCCCAGAGATTGAAACAACAATGAAAAGTTGAAACCCAGAAGAACAGCAAAGTATAGGTAAAATAAACTCTCGCAAGCTCGCCCTCCAGAAGGAACCGACAATGTTTTGACACTTACGCTGTCACTGTGCAAGTAACATGCAACATTCTTCTCCCGCTTCTAAGAAAAAAGTCAGAACACTACCCATCGGATTCCCGTCCTCCACCCTCCCTCCCAGGAGGCAACGACTGTTGGGAGACAGAACACACACCCTGCACTGCTAAGCCCTTCGTGCACGTGTGTCTGGACTGTAAGGTAAACCTTAAGTGGGCCAGAAATTGCCAGAAAACAGCGCATGGAACAAATGAAACATGACTTTTTTAAATTAAAACACTACAAGAGTTTTCTTAAAAAAAAAAAAAAAAACTTCAGCTCTCAACTATCTCGTCGAGTATCATGTATCTCACATGTCTCCCGGATCTCAGATACCGTCCAAACAAGGCTGGCAAGCAGGGGGGTGTGGGATACCGAGGGCCCCTCGGGCTGGCTGGGCAGCCTTGCACCGGCCCCCAGTCCTCGGACCGCAGGCAGCAGGGGAGCAGCCCGGCCACCAGGGCCCCACAGTGCTCACAGTGTGTACCTACGGTTCCAGCCTGCACCCCTCTGGAGGCAAAGCTGTGGCGAGCAGGACCGTGCACGCAGCTGGGGGGCAAGGCCAGCTCAACTGACTGCCTGCCCCCCCAGGGCGGGGGAAAGGCACTCCTCAAACGGCCACAGGACCCACAACAGCACAGCCTCCTGGAGATCAGCAGTGGCCCCGGCTGCCTCTGTTGAGCAGCCTCTCAACACTGTCACCTGCCATCAGGACCTGCACATGAATCCTTATTGCCACCAAGCACAGCAGTGACTGCGTTCCTTCATTCATTCCTTCACTCCACCATCACAGTGCCAGGTGCAGGATGTTGACACAGGCCAAGTAGGGGACACCTCTTGTCCCTCGTAGCCTACTCTCGGGGGTGGCATCACCCTCAGTCAGTTGCATCACCTGCAAGTAAGGAGCAGCTCTCCCATGGGACAATGGGCCAGGTCAATAGGTGGTTGACCCAGGTAACCTGGGGACGCCGTCCTGGGTGACCCCAGCCCCAAATCTCTATTCCAAACAGTCTCTTCCTGCTCCTAGGCCATCGTCCCATGGGTGCTGGATGGGAACATCAGATGCTGCCCATCCCAAAGCACCTCCTCATCCCCTCCTAAATCTGCACCTCCCCAGCGTCCCGCAGCTCAGGACCCAGGCTATCCGCCACTCACCCAAGGCCTGAGGTCACGCACACGCCTCCCTCTCCCACAGCTCCCCGCAGCAAGCGCTATCAGGCCCGCCTCGAGAAGACTCTGAGCGCGTCCCACCACCCCGGCATCCTGTGTCTCTGCTCCAGCCCAGGCGCCACCTCTCACGTGGGTTACTGCCCGGCACCTCACTGGCCGTCCTGCCTCACGCTCGTTCCTGAGCATCCTCCGCACAGGCAGCTGGAAGGATCATCCTAAATCACAAATCTGTCCCCTGGTGGCTACCCACTGCCCTCAGGGCCAAGTCTGACCCCTGGAGGGGGCCTGCCAGGCGCTTCATCACCTCCAGCCTCATCTCTCACAAGCCTGGCCTTGAGTCCTAGGATCCAGCCACACTGATCCTCTGAGATCACAGATCCCCTCCTCCAGGACCCCTTCTCTGAGCAGCCACCCCATTTCCAGGTCATGTGTCCTGTGTCACTCGACCACAGGCCTCTGTGCTTGCTCTGTCCACTTTTCTCAGTCCCCACCTCTGGCCTACAAGTGCCGGCTCACTCAGCGTTACATCCACAGGGATGGAACCAGGGCCAGACCTTCCGAAAGCATTCAAGAAACATCTGTCAAATACTGCTGAGCGGGCCACACGCCTCCGGTGGGTCCTCCACCCAAGTGAGGCGCTGGTCCAGGACAGGAAGTAACCTGGACAGAGAGGCAGGTCACGGCCGCCTCTCTGCGAGTCTCTGGACCGTCTGAGCAGACTGAGAGGGAAGTGGGGTCTCTTAGGGGGTCCGCACGAGAGCCGCCCACCTGGTGCTTTGCTCGCCCACACCGACTGGGCGCTGTGTTGTCTGTCCGTTGCGCCCAGGGTCAGCCCAGGGCCGGAACCGCGGGCCCTCGAGTACTGAACTCATGACTCCAGGATGGAAAGTGGGAGACGAGCAGGCGGGGATGGGGCCTGACCTCGCTACACAATCCCCCGACCCAGGAGGGTGGTGTGAGTGGTCCAGGCCCGGGAGGGGCCTGGGGACTTGCTGCACACTGAGCCCACGCCCACCTCCTCCCCACCCGCCCCCAGGCTGAAGGCCGTCAGCCCTTAGGGTCCACCTCCTGGCAGGGACAGACCTGGTTCCCCCTGCCCTCTGACCTCCAGGTCTCCTACTTCCGCTGAGGGCAGTATTCCTTCCAATACACACGTCACATCTGATCTCGACGTCCCTAGCAGACTACAAAGCCCTCCAGGGAAGGGATGCTGTCCTATGCTTCTCAACCTCCCTCCAAACACGACAGGCCCTCCAAGGCTGAAGAATGGCCATCCCCTCAGAGACACAGAGGAGGGGCCATGGAATATGGGCTTCCGGACCAATACAGAGCTGCACTCACCTGCTCACCTGCTGTCCCACCTGAGAGCCACGGCCACCAAAGTGAGACAAAGATGACAGGAAATAAAGCCAGTGGGGTGAAGAGGGACAGAGATGATGTGAGCAGTCGAGAAATTTCTAGAAGGCAGAAAGTGGATGAGAGCATACTCGGCAACGAGACAGGAAGAAGAAGGTACAGCCCAGAACATGCCATGGGGCGCTGTGGGGCAGGCGACAGGCCGCTGGTGCGGAACCCCGAGAGGCCTGGGCGGCGCCTCCACGGGCTCCAAGTTGGGGGGGGTGGGGGAAGAGGCTGCCGAGGGCGGGCAAGGGGTCTCTTCCTGGGGTGAGGAACATGCTCTGGAGCCAGTGGTGACGGCTGCACAACTTCAGGAACACGCTGAAATCATTGAATCGTACACACTACAAGGGGGAAGTTTATCATGTGTGACTTCTAGCCCAGTATAGCAGCAATTAAAAAAGCCACATGGAGAGGCTCTACTCAGAGCCACAGCCCCAGGGATGCCCCGCCATCTACCCCCACCCAGGCTCGGGCAGGCAAATTCCCCCTGGGGAAATCCAGATGGTTCCACGTCTTGAGAGCAGAGTCAACCGTCCGGAGGACGTTACAGCTCACGGTACAAAAGTGAAGCCCAGAGCAAAGCCCTGCTTGCTCAGGACCCTGGGGGCCTGGCTCCTGACCAGAAGCCCACTGGTCAACGGGACCCGCCCTGCCCTAAACGGAGCGCTCAGGAAGATTCCACCTGCAGCAAAGAGCCCAAGGAGACAGGAGCAATTTGGTGGCCACAAGAGAACTCGGGAAACAGCAAAAAACCCCAAAAACCTAGAGCGAATGTCCTCAGATCCGAGAGATGCCCAACAAGTAAAAACAAGATACTTTAAAAAAGGAAAATTGGAGGTAAGAAACGGCTCCTAGATATTGCAAACACGGCTCTTACAGTTTTATAACACAATGTCGAGGAAAATAAAGTCAAGGAAATCTCCCAGCAGGCAGAGCAAAAAGACTCTTTTTGTAAAGGGTGAGATGTGGAGACACAATTCAGCAGATGAAGAACGGCTAACAGCAGCTGATACTTACAAAGCACCTACTGCGTGCCAGGCACGACTCTCAGCGGCGCACACGCATGAACTCATTTAATCCTGACAACCACCTCACGAGGCACAGCCAGTTGTTCCCATTTTACAGACGAAAAGATTCAGACGTAGGGAAGTTAAGTAGTGAGCACCCCAGCAGGAGAAAATAAATGGACAGAAAGAAACTGTCAAAGAAACAGAAGAAAACTTTCCAGAGCGAAAATGAAGGACACCAAATGTCCAACACGGTGAACAAACAAAGAAAACCCCAGACACAATGTCATAAAGAAGCCCTAAATGCTTCTTGAGGGAAAAGAAACAGGTCATCTGCAATAGCCTGAGAACCTGCTGGCATCAGACTTCTCAGAAGACGTCAAAGCGATACTGTCAAAACGCCTAAGTCGGGGGCCAGCCCAGTGGCGTAGTGGCTAAGCTCGGGCGCTCCACTTTGGCAGCCCAGGGTTTGCAGGTTTGGATCCCGGGCGTGGACCTACACACCACTCATCTAACAAGGCTGTGGTGGCGTCCCACAAATAAAATAAGACGACTGGCACCAATATTAGCTCAGCGACAATCTTCCTCAAGTGAAAAGAGGAAGACTGGCAACACATGTTACAATCTTCCTCACCAAAAGAAACCAAAAAACAAAAAACCCAACTCTAAGTGATGGTCATTCTCAAACCAGAATATTATATCCAACCAAACTCATTCAAGTGTGACAACAGAGTAACAGCCCTTTCAAATATACTAGGTGTCAAAGAGTTTATTTCCCACACACCTTTCTAGGAATCTGCTAAGTAATTAATCTCTTGGGACATTACTTGAGAAATTACTCCAGTAAAACAAGAAAATAAACCAAAACACAGTAATAAATAAACTCCCCAGGAGAAGCGTACAGGAAAGTCCCGGGGCAATGGCTAAAGAGGTGGCCTGGCGAGGAGCCAGTCCTGATTAGAGAAGGAAGACGGAGAGAGCCAGAGGAAACATCCCGGCGAAAACACGCCACCGACAAACGAGTTGAGTGGGAGGACGCGAAACAGGTGAAGCACTTTAGACGACAAAGACACAGGATGAGGGGCAAAAGCAACAGCAGAGCGTATTCATAAAGCCACGGCCCGAACGTGATGCAAAGGAAAGAGGGCCACATTTTAACCAAGAAGGACAAAAAAAGAACCCATCTCATTTTGACATGACCTTGAGCGGCCTCCCGGGGGGCCCAGAGTTCAAAGGGAGGATGTGGGAAATCCTGGCATCCCGACCAGCCTGACAGTGAACAGAGTCAGGAAAGTCGACGCCGTTTGCTGGTCTCGAACTTTCACACTCAGTCTCCGAGCCGCGAGCAGAAGGCTTGGCTCCTGTTCAACAACCTCAACAATGTCAAGTGTAGCTCCCGAAAGGAGAGGTGTAAGGTTCAAGGAAAGATAAGGGGGCACACTACCTTCTCTTCCTGAGCGGAAAGTCAGAAGACATGGACCAAAGCTGACCCGGCTGAAGAACCCACCCATGCGCTCAACAAACATTTAGTAAGAGCCTTCTGCCTCCTTTCAGCTCGGGGGAGAGAGCAGCACAACAGAGCAGACGCAAAGCTCCCACCCGGGGGACGGGGCAAGATGGACATGATTAATGAAACATATAATACGTCAACACGGTGCTGAGGAGAAGAGCAAAACAGAAAGACGGCTCAGAAGCATGTGGCTGAGTAGGTGCTCTGAGCAAAGAAACTTCGATTTAGACCCGGATTCTGCGGAGGGTCCCGAAGATAAGCAGGTTCGCTCATTATGCAAAGTCACAAAGACAATTGCAGCAAAATGAGTCCCTGGACCCTGAGACACTTAGAGGCGGTGGTGGACAAAAGGTGTCGGAGCTTACGGAAAAGCCTAACTTTCACGCCCGGAAGTTAATAAATGGTTTTTTTTACTTGAAAAATCAAGAACTAAGAAGCAAATTAGCTTCTATTAATTTAAGGTGTTAAGGAAGGACACCATCCAGAAAGCACCAGAAGGCTGCCCTGGAGTTTGGAGAGGTACGGCTGCGATGGGACGGGAAATGCCAATTTCCCACCTTGCACACTTCTGCTCCGTTTGTTATGTGTTTTATTTAAAAGATACTTTCTGGGGCCGGCCCGGTGGCGTAGAGATTAAGTTCGCATGCTCCGCTTCAGCGGCTCAGGGTTCGCAGGTTTGAATCCCGGACACGGACCTAGCACTGCTCATCAAGACACGCTGTGGCGACATCACACATAAAATAGAGGAAGATGGGCAACAGATGTTAGCTCAGGGCCAATCTTCCTCACACAGAAAAAAGGAAACAATAAAAAAGAGATACTTTCTAAGTACATAAGCTATCATTTCAGAGGCTGGAGTCTGGTAAGAAATTCGCTCCTCTTGAACCTGACCCATTTGTACTGAGGACAAACAGTGAACAGGGCACTCACTACTGGATACATTTGAAGCAGCGGCCGTCTGTGCACAGGCTGCACACAGGCTTTGCAACAAGCACCCTGCTGTCACGAGCAGAGCCCACGGCACAGAGCGAGCGATAAGTACGGCCACTATTAATGTTTCTTCTAGCCGCTTGGTCACTGACCCAGTGGGGGACGAAGAGGAAATTAACAGCCTAAAGGCGGCTGGAAATCACCATCCTGGACCCATTCTGGAGAAAAGGGGAGAGGGCGGGTGAGGGAGACGGCGAAGGAGGACCTGGAGGGGAGGCCGCCTGAGCAAACGGGCGAGGGAGGCAGCCAGCCACAGCTTTTACTTGGCCGTCAGCACGAAGGGGACCACAGACGACGCCTGGATGAATGGGCGTGGCTGAGAGCCAATAAAAACAGGCAGCGCCCACCCAGCCCGGGCCCCAGGGTGCGGAACCCTGCTTTAAAGCTCAGCGGGAGCCTGAAAGCCATGTGCCCACGTCAGCACTGTATCTGCTTTCCTCCACGAGGCTCGGAGCGGAAGGAAGGAAGAGGGGAGAACGGGAAGGCTCAGAAGAGAAGTGAGGGAAAGGGGTAGCTGAACGCTGACGGAAGGCCCCAGAAGAGAAAGAAACGGCTACCAGGCCACCAGGAATCTCGAGTTGACGTCCCTTCTGAACCAGAAGTTTCTGCTTCGGGAACATGTGTCATTTCCCCACTCGACTGTGAGCCACTTGCTGGCCCAGGCCCCCAGGCCACTTGCTGCTCCTGCTTCAGTGTGAGACCATCCATGCTGGCTCAGGGGTCCCCCCCCAGGGCCCTGACCCACTGGCCTGCAAGCCGAGGGGTCAGCAGCTGGGCAGGGGCTCGCCCGCCCCCAACGGTGGGGACTCAGTAGCCGGCAAACACACTCAGCCTCGGTCCCCAGAGCTCACAGGACGGCCACCAACTTTGTTCCCAAATTCCCCGTCAAATTCCCCAGGAAGTGTTCTCTGATGCCCTGAGCTGTGAGAGTTCCCATCTCAGCCATCAGGCTGCCAGGCCCCCGGGCCCCCGATCTTACTGGGAGGCGTGAATGAGGCCCTCATGCTTAACAAGGAGCACCTCTCATGCTTTTTTTTTTGGAGGAAGATTAGCCCTGAGCTAACATCTGCTCCCAATCCTCCTCTTTTTGCTGAGGAAGACTGGCCCTGAGCTAACACCCGTGCTCATCTTCCTCTGCTTTATATGTGGGACGCCTACCATAGCATGGCGTGCCAAGCAGTGCCATGTCCGCACCCGGGATCCAAACCGGCGAACCCAGGGCAGCTGAAGCAGGACATGTGAACTTAACTGCTGCGCCACCAGGGTGGCCCCCTCTCATGCCTTCTGCCCCAAACACCATGACTTCTTCAGATGGCCTCTCACGAGCATGGGTCCAGGAAGCCACCTCCGATCTCTTACCAGGCAGGCACCCGTGGCCCTTCCCACCACTACCACTGAGTCCGCTCTCTGGACACTCCTCAGAGCCCGAGTCTGGGTGATGACACAAGACACGGTCACCACCTGCTTTGGGTTTTTTGTAGGATTAAGTCAATGGCCGAAGGAGAAGCAGAAAGGAGGGAGGGGGCCCGTGTTAGGGTCAGAGAAGGGCTGCATCCCAGCTGGGTGGCTTCTCAGCAGCGTGCGGAGGGCCCGAGCCGGGAGCTCACGGCGTGGGCCCTGCTCTCCCTGGGGAGGGGAGGGGGATGACCGGCTGGGGCTGGGGCACTCACCGCGCTTGGGCTTGGGGAAGCTGTCATGCAGCCGGAAGACCACCTTCTCCACGAAGTGCTGGATCTCACATTGCTCGGGGCCGCGGACGAACACCATCCAGTCGTGCGTGAACCCCTCCGTGGTGGGCTTCTTGCGCAGTTGGGCGCGGTGTCCCAGCTCTAACTTGACCTGGACAGTGCACTGGCGGGAGAAAGGCGAGCACACGATCAGTGTGACGCCCAGAGCAGGGGACTGCAAGCTGTCCCACCCCGTCACCTACAAGGGCTGCAGGAAATGAGAAGACCCCGAGGAGTGCCCCCAGGCTTCCGAGCCAGTGACCCCTCCCCGTCCTCCCTCTCATCCTCTCCATGCCGGTGCACGGCCTCGCTGCTATTCCTCCAACAAATGCTCAGTTCATTCCTGCCTCAGGACCCTGGCACCTGCTGCCCCCTCTGCCCTGGAGACTCTTCCTCTAGGCCTTCCCATGGCTGGCTCCTTCCAGTCACTGAGGTCTCAGTGGCTCAGCTGTTGCCTCCCCAGGGAAGCCTTCCCTGACCACCCAATCTGAACACAGTTCTGTGTCCCCCCGACGCCTGTCACTCTTCATCACATCGTCTGCCATCTCAGCATTTTTCACTGTCGGAACTCATCACGCGGTCCGGAGTGCAATTACCTCATCTGCAGGCGAGGAACCCCACCTGTAGAGTGAGCTGGGCCGAGGCACATGTGACGTGGCTCAGCTGGCAGGGGGCGGCCCGGATTCAAGCCCAGGGGTATGCCCCCCAGGGCCTGCTCCCTTGGCACCTCTGCCATCGTGCCTCCCTGGTCAAGCCCCACAAGTTTCCTAGTAAAGCATTTTCGTCCTCCTCCGCCCTCCAGGGTGCCTCCTGGAGAACAGAGACCCTCGGGGTCCAGAGTCCTTGCACCCACTTGGCTCCAAAAGCAGAACAGTGGCTCACAGCGAGAATGGAGGGGCAAGAAGCCACGTGGGGCCAGGTCCCAGGCGGACCTGCAGCCTCGACTGCCAGGTTCCCCTCTTTGAAACGTGTCTGATGCTCTGCCTGCCCTGGAGCATAAGGCAGCTCGTACAGGCTCCACTCCACTGCACACAAAGCCACAGACCTTCAAAGCACTCGCTACACCCGGGTGGGCCAGCACCTCTGACGAGGAAGCTACTGCAAACACCCGCTCTGGTCCGTCCCATCCCCCCCGACTCCTCGTGGACACAGACTGACACCTAGTATCCAGTGCAAGAATGTTACGAGGCAGCAGAGGCCACGCGGACACTTGGTCCCAAGTGCTCCGATAACCAGGAGCAGGCCAGGCAGAGGCGGCAACCCCACACTTTCCAAACGAAGCTCCCACGCTGGGCTCCGTCAGCCGGCCCTCCCTCCAGCCAACCAGGCTCCCGGGCCCCAGCCCAGAAGCCTCCCGCTCTGCATTCCCACCCCCTTCCCACCCCGTGCACCCCACGGCCAGTGCCTCCTGTGCCTGCCTCTGCTCTGACATTCCCAGACCCCGTCGAGACCCCACCAGCAGTGTCCTCTCTCCCTCTTCGCCCTCCTATGCTGCTCAGTCACTGCCTGACAGCAGGACAGACGGAGCCTATCGCTCACCCTGTTTCAAAGCTTTCGATGGTTCACCACTCCCTCAGAAGAAAGCCCAACACCTTGGCCTCCTCCCTCCATCTCCCCGGGTCTCCTCGGCCTCCTCCCTCCGTCTCCTCGGCCTCCTCCCTCCGTCTCCGAGGGTCTCCTCGGCCTCCTCCCTCCGTCTCCCACCTGTGTGTTTCCTCAAGTCTGATCTGAGATGCTCATCATTTTCCACTTTTTAACCCTTTTGAAGTCGGAGTGTACCCTGCAATGCACATGGAAGTCTCATGTATTGAGGGCCCACCCAAAGCACATACACACACACACTCACACACACGAAGCTGCTACTAAGCTGGTGGCATGCCTTACAGGCTCAGAACTGAGGAAGCACGGCAAATGCACACACCACATTCCAGCTCAATGGGTCACCAGCCATCCCAAAACACACCCGGAGCGTCCACCCTGTCCACCTCCGCTCCCTCTGGCCTGCAGCCTGGGCGCCCTACACTCATTTCTCTGCTCATGGAAATTCCACCCATCCCTTAGGGCTCAGCTCAAGTGCTACCTTCCCCAGAGCACCCTCTGATTGCCACACTGGAACCCACCAGCCCCTCAGAGTCCCACAGCAGTCTGTGGACCAACTCCGTGTGCCCACTCTGGCCCGCCCCGGCTGCTGGGCTGCCCGCTGCCGTCTCCTGGGGTCACACCTCACTTGTCCTTTGAGCCTCTATCTTGGAACCACAGTACACGAGGCATCAACAACGCTGCATGCATTAAACGAGAGCCTTCCTAGCTCAGCGAGCTCCGAGCAATGCTCTCCAAGAGGGAAGGGCCAAGGTGGCAGATAAGGCCAGGGTGGTCCCGACGTCTGGAAGAGCTGGCAGGAGGCTCTGGGTACCGAGCAGGCCAGCTGTAAAAACAGGGAGTTCGTCGGCATAGACGACAGTGGAGGGGGCTCCACGGGAAAAGAGCAGGGCCTCGCATGGGCCGGGCCCACTGGGAGGAGGGGCAGCGACTGGGAGGGAGCGTTTAGATTCAACACAACAGAAATGACAGCCAATAGCAAGCGGCTGATGGATGCGAGGGAACAGCATCTGAGTAAAAGTACGCCAGCCATTCGTCCCCAGGCTGGGCTGAAGGCAGAAAAGGACAGATCAACAGCAAAAACAAGCCTGTGAGAAGGTGACCAGAGGGAGTGGCTGGAAAGGGAGTTTAAGTCGAGCCTGAAACGGGAGAGCTCTGAAAAGAGTGGAGGAGGAGAGACAAGGACACTCAAATAACTCCACGAGCCAGGTCGCTGGGATGCTGCCGAAGAGAAGCCATGGCGGGGCGGGGGACTGGGACATCCAAGAGGAAATACCCCACCAAAAGCTAGAGAGGGAGGACGAACGGTCTGGATAAACAAGTAATGATCACATTGACCACAAGCATCTCTGTGCAGGGCGTTGCTCACGGACGACGAGCAGCATAAACAGAGCCAAACAATATTTACATTATCCCGAACGGGCTGCAAATCACCATACACACTTCTGTGTGTGTCACAAACTCTTTCTTTCTCCCTACAGTCTTCACACTGAGAAATCGGGAACGAATCCCTGGACCGCCGGGAGGGTTACAGGTGGAAAAGCAAATGGGTAGAATCGTAACAACAGTAACACACTTTGCAGATGACTTTCGCTTCTTTCGCGTTAACTCCTACGTAATGAGACGCCTCCTCCGAGTCTGTTATTCACGGATCCAGCGGCTCCAACCTCGGCTGCCTTCCCGGCACGTCTGATTACGTGGGGGTCCCACCCAGGGCACAGGAGCGGCAGAGCAGTGATTGTGAAAGAATGGAACACCACAGTGCCATCGGAGAGGGGGAAAACGCAAGCGCCAAAAAAACGCTCCGAAGGCCAAAGTAAACAGGAAGGTTCCGAAGCGGCGCTGGGGAATCTTTGCAGCCGGCAGGCCGTGCCCACAGCTCTGCCCGGGCAGCATCTATGCCCCAGGGGGCTGGCACCAGCTCAGCCCCGACAGCCCCCCAGGTTCAAGGTGCCAATGCCCGGCCTTCTGCACCCTGTGTATGCTGGTAGGGTCAGGAGAGGAGCACGCCCTCGAATTCTGGAATCTTCTAGGAAATAAAGGTGTGGGATTACACGGACTCTGGGCCACTATATGAAAAAAGAAATCACTGATTCAGTAAGACGTCCAAGCTACACTGAACTGGAGGCAAGCAGGCAGCTGAGCGCTGGCCTACTGCGTGGACTTGTCGAGTCACGATGGTTTATTAGCATGGCTAGGCCGATTCCAGCCCCAAGGTGCTCCCGTCTCCTGCCTTCTCCACCTGGACTTCCTCCCTGTCCCCCAGACCAAGAACGGAAACCAGTCAGTTCCTCTTTCTCCAGGAAGGGCGCCCGGGTAAAGGCTCAGGGCTGGTCGGGGGAAGCTCACCACCACCTCGGAACGGCGCATCTCACCAGTCCCGCCAGCTGCTCGTGGAACCTCCAGAGTGGAGGCTGGAAGTGGCCGGGCCTCAGTGCCTGCCATGTCCTGGCATCTTGGGGGCCACTGCGCCACCCACTGGCCCAAGAAAAGCCCAGAACAAGGGGAACCTTCCAGGCCTGTCCCGGAAAGGGTTAACTGTTTCACTTACGGGAAATGTTCCCAAAGACCTGCAGATGAACGTGGAGCCTCAGGGGCTGTGAGGGCCATCTGGGGATGGTCACGCTTGGGCAGAGGACCTCAACTGGGCACTGCCCTCTCTCCTGGCCAACTGGCAGAGGGCATGTGGAACCCGAGGGCTGGGATCCCGACTCCTGTAAGCCAGGCAAGGGGACCCAGGAGGGCAGCTTCCCAGGCACTTCTTCACTAGAGGACAGACCCCTCGGGCATGGACCCATGGCCATGACCTGGCAAAGAGGAGGAGCCAGCCTGGGGCCACCAGCTCCTCCTGCCTCAAAGCCCTTTCATCGGATCCTTCCTGCACCCCACGAACCCCGCCCTCAGCCAGGCCCCAGAAGGCAGGTCTTTAACACTGAGTTCGTCTGCACGACTCCCCCTGATTTTCAGGTGGGGATTCTCTAACAGATGCCTTTCCCTCTGGGAATCTGCACTATTCCAAGTGGTATAATTACACCCGGAGTCTGGCAACGGCATCTGATTGCCTCCCGTCCCAGGAGGAGAACGCGTGGATGGGCCTTTTCCCTTGTCAGCCTGCGCCGGCTGTGCCAAGTCGGAACGGACCCAGCAGGGCTGCTGGCAACGTGGTCCACACAGGCACAGATGGGACAAGGTGCTGGTCCCACGGAGCGACAGCAACTCCAGACCAAAGAGAACACTCCATGCAGAGCTTTCTCCCTCCAGACCCAGCCGGGCGCTCTCGGGAGCAGCCCCTGGACGAGAATGGGACGAAGACGGAAAAAGACCGATGTCCCTCGACCTCTCAGTGACCGCTGCGTAAGGCCCTGGCACACAGAGGGGTGGCAGCCAGCACCTACACCCCTCTTCTGGCTCCACTGTGTCCTTTGACCCAGGGCACAAGGTTAATGACGAAGGGGCTCAGTGAATGGCTCTCTGGAAATGCTCTAAGGACAAGTGTGCAGACCGTGAGGACAGGCAAATCCACCCACAAGCTTTAGAGCTTTCTGCTTCCTGGGAAGACGACGCTCCCTGCGGAGGCGTGGGACAGGGGATTTTTAGATATATGTGAGATGCCTGGAGATGGCGCGCCGGGTGGCCCTGGAGTTCTCCAGGGAGCAGTCTTGCGAGACTTTTGAAGCGCCCAACCCCAATAAAGGCATCTGCCGCCAGGCCAGGTGGGCCTGGTTACAAAGGAGATGATTCCTAGTTATTTTTATTTAACCAACAGTTGGCAAAGCTAAGTGCAAAACTTCGAGTTAGAGACTTCGGGGGACATGAGGGAGGAGGGCTCTGGTCCCTGCCCTCAGGACTTTATACCATATTAACTTTAGGACAAAAAACTGGGCAGGTGGGCTGTCCGGCCATAGTTTCAGAGCTGGGTTGGGGAGAAGCCCAATGACCCACGCTCTCTGCACAATTCTGAGCTTTTTTACGCAAGGTTTGGGGGAAGAACGGAGCTCCCTCAGAATCCCACCAGGCCCTCCATTTGCACATCTGTAAAATGGGCCATTGCTGCCTGAAACAAACCTCCCCTTCGGAAACAAGAGAGCATGGTCACAGGAGGCCGTTCCCAAACGCAGACTTGGGAGAGCCTTCGCGAGAACCAGGAGTGTCGGTTCCACTGTCTCATGCACTGGGTCGACGCTTCTGTGAGCAGAGGGCTCCCCGGGGCTGCGGAGCACAGGACCACCCAGACGCTGACACCACTTCCAGCTCCCTAGGCAACCACCGTCCCCAGGGACAGCCCCTCCCCCCCATGCTCTTTTCCTGATCTTTCCGGCATCTGCTCAGTCTTCATCCGTGCCCATTCCTTCCCCACCATCCTTGGAGAGAAATCACACGCCTCCCAGACACGACCGCAGGGTGAGCAAAGACCTCCCCACAAAAACTACATCAGCTCTTCCCCCCAAAGGACATACGAGTCTCACGGATGATGGACTTCTAAGTACAGGCTTGGGGTCGGGGAGAAAGCAAACAGATGGGTGAGGGTGACGGGACCAGACTTTTTCCAGAGAAGGTGGGAGCCCAGGGCCAACAACGCAGAATCCCCCTTCTTAGCTGGGCTGAAAGTTCTAGAGAGTATGGCAGGAAGGTGGAGAGAATCAAGGCTCCCAAGGCAGGCAGGCCCTCGGGGGAGAGTCCTGTTGTTTCCCATGAGACAGAGGCACTAACAGGTGTGGAGCATCTCGGGACAGAAAAGGAAAGCCGAGATTCTGCTGGGTTCAAAGCATTTCCCATGCCCCAGAAGTCACTCTTGGAAGACTGACAGCCAACTCACCTACGTGGGTAAAAGACACCATTCTCTCCTGTCTCCCGAGGGGCCACCATCCCTGTAGGAAAGGGACAGAGCTCCTGGGCTCTCCCCAATTTGCATGAAAACACAGCCGGGGTTGGAGCATCAGACTAAGGGCTGGCACATGCTCCTGTGCAAATGCTTCGGCAATGTTCTAGACCAGCACTGCCCAAGGGAACTTTCTGCCACGATGGAATGGTTGTCTCTACGCTGCCCAACGAGATGGCCCATCCCTCAACAGTGGTGGTTACTGGGCACTTAAAACATGGCTGCTGCGACTGGGCAACTTTTCAATGTGGTTCGTTTCCATTTAAACAGCCGCAGGGGCTAGTGGCTGCCGCACCGGGCAGTGGTGACCTCACTCTCTCGGGTCGAGTGCGTTCACCAGTCCAAGACACCAAGGCACCAAGACACCAAGTCACCAGAGCAAGACGGTTATCTCCCAGCCTGTTCCCCACTGCACTTACATAAATGACAACGGCCCAGCCAGCCGGGGCCCAGCAGGTCACAAGGGGAGTGGACACACCTGGGCCCAAGGCAGCTCCCCGGGGACCAGCGGGTGGGTGGGAGGTGGCAGCCATGGTCTACGCCTGTGTGCGCCCAACAAGACTTTCCCAGAGGCGGGCTTCGCTGAAAGTGGACCCCGGAGGTACATTTTGTTTTGTCTTTTTAAGTCAATACAGAGTTGGGGCAGCAGGCTTTGTCCCTTCAAGGGAAATGAACTCACACCAGGCTGCAGAAATCCAACATTCATTGACTGCGATAAACTCCTCACCTCTCCACTGCAGCCTAAAGGTTAATCATAGTGAGAAGGGGCCCCAGGCTCGTGCATCGGGACCCTGTGCCAGCACTGGCGGCCGGGATGGGCAGGGGGGAGGTCTCCTGCCCCCCACCCCTGAAACCCCGCAGCCCCACAGCGCCTTCCCAGACAAAGCCGCCGCCTCAGTGGCGCCAGCAGCCAGGGACGCCCCAACCTGCCCTTGCTAACGGCGGCGATTTCAGCTGCCACCCCCACAGCCCCACGCCGCCCTTCCTGGCCTCGCGCCCCTGGAAGCCAGGGGCAGCACAGGAGGATGAGGAAATGAACGACCCCATGTTGGGGGCCGCAGTGGTGCAGGGTTTGAGGAGGGAAAGGGGCTTGGGCACCGAAGCACAAGGCTGGCGAAGGGGGGACTGAGGCCAGAAAGGCCTGAGGTTTACCAGTACCGACAGGACTGGCTCCAGGTTTCCGGATCGAGGGGAGAGTTCAGGGAGACTGGGGACCCACCTGGGTTTGGAGCAAGGCTCTCGGGGGAGGCTCTAAGATGCTGGGGAAGGCAGGGAAAATGGGGTGCGGGGGAGACAGGGCAGTGGCTACAAGTGACAGCATGAGGCTGGGGGTCGTTGGGACCAAGTGGGAGACCCTGAACGTAAGGAGAGAGGCACGGGGGTTCTGGGGAGACCCCAGGTTTGCGAAGGGAGGCCGGCGGAAGCTGGAGGAACCAACTGAGGAGAGAGATCTGAACTAGGGAAAAACGTGGGGAAGCGGACAGCAGGGTCCGAGGGGCAAAGCAAGCCCAAGCTGAGGGGGCTGCGGCATTCGGCATCTGGAGAGTATGGGGGCTCCAGGTAGGAGCAGAAACTGCGCCCAGGCCTGGTCTAAGAGGAGAGGGTCTGAAGGTGAAAGAGACAGTCCCCCAGGCTCTGGGAGCCTGACCCCAGAGGGGGCTGAGGCAGCGGGGTGGCTCCAGGTCTGAGGAAGCGAGCCCAGGTCCAAAGAGGGGGACACTCAATGCAGACCCGGGTACTGGTGGGAAAAGACACAGGCCCTGGCCAGGGTCTCAGGGGAAAGGGACGTGCAGGCTGAGACAGGGACAGCACCAGCGGGGAGACAGGGTGCAGGCCTGGAAGAGGGTGAGGAGTAAGAAGGTTTAGGGTGGTCCTGGGTTCCAGGAAGGAGGGGTCTGCAGATCAAGGGCCCAGGGGTTCTGGGGGGACTCAAACCTCAGGGTCTAAGGGAGAAGAGGCAGCAGGCTGCGGGCTCAGAGAGGGAAGGAGACACAAACCAGCCCTGGATCCAGAGGGGAAACTTGGTACAGGCTGGATCTGAGCAATCTGAGGGGTCCCCAGGGTGCCTGTGGGAATCTGGGCTGGGCTGGGGTCCCGAGGCATATTCCAGGGGGGCTCCGGGCCCAACCGGGGTTGCGAAGGGCATCCCAGGGGGTTCTGGGCTGCTTATAAGGGCTCCGAGCAGGAATGGGGTCTCAAGGGGCATCCCAAGGGGGTCTGGGCCAGACTGGGGCTCCGAGGGGCGACCTGGGGGGCTCTGGTCCGGACTGGGGTTCCGAGGGGCGACCTGTGGGGCTCTGGGCCGGACTGGGGTCTCAAGGGGCGTCTCAGGGATGTCTGGGCCGGACTAGAGTCCCTAGGGGGGCCCTGGGGGCGGGTCTGGGCCGGACTGGGGTCTCAAGGGGCATCCCAAGGGGATCTGGGCCGGACCAGGGCTGCGAGGGGCGTCCCGGGGGCTCTGGGCCGGGCCGGGGTCGCGGTGGGGGAGGGGCGCCCCCGCCCCACAGCAAGGCCGGGGAGCGGCGGGCGGGCGCGCACAAAGCGGGGCGGGCGGGGGCGGGGAGGCCGGGACCGAGGAGGCCGGGCGGGAGGGCGGAGGGAGGGGAGGAGGGGGCCGGGCGGGCGGCGCGGGCTGCGCTGGGGCGGCGCGGCCGCTCCTCACCTGATTGTCCATGGCTGGCGCCCCGCCCCGCCCCCGGGCCCCGCGTCGCTCGCCGCCGTCCCCGCCGCCGCCGCCGCTCAGCGCCGCCCCGCCGCCCTCATTGTCTGTCAGGCGCCGCCGCCGCCGCTCCCGGCCGCCCGCCCGCCCGCCAGCCCCGCGGAACCGGAAACCGCCGCCAGCTCGGGTCGCGCACCGACCCCGGGCCCCCGCCGCCGACTCGGGCCCGCCGCCCCGACTGACAGCCGCCTGGCCCAATCCGCGGCGCGGACGGCCGCTCGCGGGGCGGGACTTCCGGCCTGGCGGGGGCCTGCCGGGCTGCGGTCGGAGGGACGAAGCCCGCAGCCAATGGGAGGCCCGGACCGGAGGGGCGGGAGGAGGGAGGGAGGGAGGCGCGATGCGAGCCCAGCGGAGGGGAGCGCGAGGTGTGCGCCGCACGTGGAGGGGGGCGGGGGCGGGACGGGCGCGCCGCGCCTGCGCACTGCGGCCCGCAGGGGGCGCTGCCTCGTGGCCGGAGCCTCCCAGGGCCGGAGCTGAGGTCGCGGGTTCGAGCCCAGGGGAGGGAGCCCCAGGGACACTTTTGTTTCTGGCCGCATGTTGCTACTATATGATGGAATGAGCCCTGCGCTCTGGAACTGCAGATTAATTTTCCAATCTTGGGTCTGCCTCGTGGCAAGTATGGTCAACTCGCTTCTCTCCCTGAGTCTCAGTTTGCCATCTGTGAAATGGGGACAATCACAGTCCGGTGTCATGCTGGTTTATGCTCATTTGAATGATGCAAATTTGAAATCTGTTGCATTAGAATGATCAAGAAGGTCTCCTTTTATCCACGAAATTCATAATGCTACTCCCTCCAAAACCCAATTTTTAATTTACCCATGATCCTATAATTCCACAACGACTTGTAAACTGTGTTTAGATCAGGTATAGACGCATCGCCCCATCTTTTTCAGGATCTTGTAAGCCACTTGTCTCTCGGACATTAGGACTTCTGCCTGAGATTTGGGGACCTTTGCATTGTTATTTTAAATTCCTTCTTAGAATTAAAAATCAGTGTTTTTTTGTTTGTTTGGGGGTTTTTTGGCTCTCTACTTTTCGTTTAAGTGTCAGCCAAGCGTTCATTACGTGATGGGGCCAGTGCTTTGCGCTGAAGCGTAGCAGCAGAAAATCAGTAACTTCAGATTGAAAGTTAGTCCAGACAAAAACTCTGAAGGATGCCAGATCATGTCATAATAACACCGTCCTTTTTAATCTAGGACAGGGTGTACTGGGTTGGGGGTCAGGGATGGAATGGACATCATGCTAAGAAAATAAGCAGCAACTTGCATGTGGGTACAACTTTATTTTATTTTATTTTATTTTTAGTCCTGTAACTGGATGTAAGTAGATCAGAGATCCTTGAACCAGCAGATTCAGCATCACCTGGGAACTTTGTTAGAAATGCAAATTCCGTTCTCCCTTGATTTGTGGAAGCAGAAACTCTGGGTGCGTGGGCGGCACCCAGAGATTTGGTTTAACCAGCCCTGCAGATGATTCTGAGTCTTACTCAACTTTCAGAACCACTACCCTAGGTAAAGGGACAAAAATGAGGAGGGTAGCAATGTATTTACGATAGAAACTTGCCGTGAGCTGCAACTGTTGCAAAGATGAGCTTCAGAAACTCACCCTCCCCCCTTATTCGTCTGGGAAATTATCCTTAAATTAGGTTCTGAACTGTTGAGGGTTTTCAAAACTATATTCCTGGAGCCGCCACTAGGTCAAGTGTAATCCTTCGAGCATCAGGAAGAATAATGGGGAATTAACCCAAGTGTCCATCAATGGATGAATGGACAAATAAAATGTAGTATATCCCTACAGTGGAATAGTATTCAGCCTTTAAAAAGGAAGGAAATTCTCACCTGGGCTACAACATGAATGAACCTTGAAGACGTTATGTTTAGTTAACTAAGCCAGGGAAAAAGGACAAATGGAGGTGTCAGATTCATAGAGATAGAAAGTAGATGGTGGGGACCAGGGGCTGAGGGAGAGGAATGGGGAGTCAGTGTTTTATGGGGACAGAGTTTCAGTTTGGGAAGGTGAGAAAGTTCTGGAGATGGATGGTGGGATTCACAACCATGTGAATGTGCTTTATGCCACTGAACTGTGCTCTTTTTACAGAAAAATGCCAGCCAATAACGTTGAAAGGATGATAGGGGAAAAAATCACTATTTTGAAACCCCAATGAAATAATAATTGCAGACAAGAGTCATCGTTGAATACTAAAACATTAACTGAAAGGTTGATGAGGGACTGGATAGTCTCATGTCCACTGAAGATGCAAAGAGGGGAAATAAAAAAACTTTACAGAGGAAGAATCATGCCATCACCCCCATAGTCCAGTGACCACACTTAGCAGTGTAATAATGGGACAAGCAGAATGAGCAAAGCTCCTACAAGCTGTGATGGGAAGTACACAGCACCAAAAAGAAAGTATTCTTGCTCAAAAAGTTTAACTCGAACTGAATCGCACCTTTAGTCCTAACTTCCAGTTTCCTGGAGAAACACATGGATTGAAGAACATGAAAAGTGACACCATGGAAAGCGATCAGACAAATCATGAAGGCAGAACCCTCAGCAGCCTGATTTCCTCCAGTTGACAGGATGGAAGGAAAGAAATGAGGGCTGCCCGGGATTATAAGAGATGGTGTCACAACCAAATGCAGTGTGGGGTCCATCATTGGATTTTGGGTTGGAACAAACCAGCTATGTCAACTGGAGAGACCTGAATATGAATTATATTGAATGATGTTTAAAAATGTGTTTGGTTAGGTATGATAATGAGATTGTGGTTGTGTAGGAAAATGTCCTTATTTTTTAGAGATGCGTGAGGCAAAATGCCACCATGCAAACTGCCTTAAAATGCATTAATTTAAAAAACATAGATGAAGCAAATATGGCAAATGTTAAGAATTGTTCAATCTAGGCGATGGGTGTATGGGATTTCATGAAACTATTTTCTATACTTTTCTGTAGGTGTGAAGTTTCTATAATAAAAAGTAAAAATTTAAAAGAATGCATCCTTTGCCTCAAATAGGACACTGTATTCCTTCCTCCAGGAGGTCAAGAGAGGGCTGCCCCATTTTCTCATTAGTGGTGGTCACGTCACAGCCAACACCTGCTGTGCGTGAACTCAAGTGGACGAATTTTGAACTCTCGTTGTCTCATTTCATCCTCACGATGCTAAACGGTAGGTGTTGTTGCCCCAAATTTGCAGATGAGGAAACTGCAGCTCAGAGAGGTAAGTAACTTGCCCAAAGTCACATGGTGAGACAATGGCAGAAACAGGGACCTTCTCAATGAGACCTACACTGACCACCCCATTTAATCCTGCCCCCTACCCTAGCTTCCCAACCCTCATCTCTCTGCTCTAACTGTTCCTTTTCCGCAACACTTAACACCTCCAAATATACACATATTTTCTTATTAAGTCCACTGTCTACCTCCCCTGGCTAGAGTGGAAGCTTCAAGAGGGCAGGTCTTTGTCTTGTTGACTGATATATCCCAAAGACGCTGCCTGGCACACAGCTCGATAGATCCCTGATGCATGAAATGAAATAATACTGAATCACATGGTGATAAAGTCAGTTCCTTTTCATTTCTCTTCTAGTCTTTCTAATTCCTTCAAGAAGAAAGTATCAGCTTGGCGTTCATGCATCTTAAACTCCTGTCTGGCGTCTTCTAATCTCCCTTGATTGCGAGAGAACGGATCTGGAGCTCAGAGATCGGGACAGACGACTGGTGCAGGGCTTCTGGACCCTGCCTGGACATTGCATCTCTTAAAGAACTTTAAAAAATATCGGTACCCGAGTCCCACCTTCAGAGATCCGGCTTTCATTTATCTGGAGTAGAACGGGGCCACGCCCCCACTTTTTTTTTTTTTTTTTTTTAGTTTATCTGGGGTTTCTTATGTGCAGACTGGGTTAAGAATCATTGAGCTGCGGTGAAGAACCCTTTTTGTTGTTACAGTGTCTCGTTTGATGGTTACTTTTGATCTGTGACAAATGACTTATTGAAGTGACAACAACGTTTCCTATTCAATTACAGCAGCGTGAACCGAGAGAGTAGATTTCAAGAAAAACTAGTAAAGCAAATAGTAATTTGAGCATGTAGCAGAATGCATGCTTGATAGGTTATCCTGATGTTACGAACAAGGAAATTGAGACAGGCCGGGGATAGGACTGGCCCACGTCCCACAGCTAGAAAGTAACATTTTGGACCTCCGGGAGTCTAGCTTGCTGTCTGTAATTCAACTGCTACGTCAGGTCTCTATCGCCCTCTAGCGGTCCAGTTTATTTGCACCCAAGGGGAGGGCTTGGCATTAATTCTGCTTTCCCTTGTAGATGGTTCAGCCCTTCTAGGATTTTTTGGACTTCTCTTTTTGGCTTCCAGCGTGTTCCCTGTACCTCGAAGTTTCTCACCACCACAAACGAGCACACAGCCATTCATAGCAATATTGAATATGACCAAGCTGGAGCAGAGCCCGGTGGCCAGCTGGAGACCTACCCCGGATTAACTTCAAATCAGAGCAAACCTTGCACGTCACCCTGAGGCATTTGACCCTTATCCCATGGGCAATGGGGAGCCATGAATGGTTTTGGAGCAGACCGAACATACATGCACCGAGGCCTCTCCCTGGAAAAGGGCAGTACACTGGACATTTACAAATTTTCTTCCTGATCTGAGGCTTCCTCCCAGGGCCAATGTAAGCCTATAAGGTCCTTTAATATGAATTTTAAGTTGGCAGCCCTTCTAGAAGAATGCCAACTCATGACCAGGCACAAGCCTTGAGGGAGGGCTTCAGCCCCCACTTGCCTGTCGCTCTCAGACCCGTAGGCAGAGTGGGGCTCTCCCCTCCGCCCCAAGGAGGAAGCACGGGACCAGACCTGGCCCTCTGGCTGCTGGGATTGGGTGGGTGGGGGGGGGCATCACCTGAGACCAACCGAGAGTGACTCTGGGAGCTTTACTAACTTTTAATTGAGGTAAAAATCACATGGCATAAAACTAACCATTAGCCATATGAAAGTGTATAATTCAGAGGCATTTAGAACATTCACGGTGTTGTGCAAGCATCACCTCTGTCTAGTTCCAAGACGTATTCTAAACCCCAAAAGGAAACCTTGGCCCCATTAGCAGTCATTCCATGTTCCCTCTTCTCAGCCTCTGGCAACTTCTCATCTGCTTTCTTTCTCTATGGTTTTGCTTATTCTGGGCATTTCTTATCAATGGAATCACACACTGTGTATCCTTTTGTGTCTGGCTTCTCTCATTGAGCATCATGTTTTTGAGGTCCATCCACATTGCAGCGTGTCAGGGCTTCACTCCTTTTCATGGCTGAGTAATGTTCCATTATATGGATGGACCACGTTGTGTTTATCCATTCATCCACTGACGGACACTTATGCAGTTTCCACCTTTTGCCTCTTATCAATAGTGCTTCTAAGAACATTCTGTACAAGTTTTTGTTTGAATACCTGTTATCAATTCTTTTGAGTAGGTGCCTAGGAGTGGAATTGCTAGATCATATGGTAATTCTATGCTTAACTTTTAAAGAGCCACCAAACTGTTTTCCACAGTGGCTGCGTCATTTTACATTCCTACCAGCCAGGCACAAGGGTTCCAGTATTTCCACATTCTCTCCACCACTTATTTTCTGTTGTTTTGGTTGTTTTAATCATGGCCAACTTAGTGGATGTGAAATAGTATCTCTGTTTTCATTTGTATTTCCCTAATGACTAACGACATGAGCATTTTTTCATGTGCCTTTGGGCCTTTACTCTACACTTGTCAACTTGGAAGGATGTAAGCCTGGCACTGCTGGCAGCCACCATCCACCCATGAGGTAGGCCAGAGGGTTGGAGGGAACCTGGCCCTGGTGACATCATTTGAAGCCTGGATCCAGCCATACCTGCAGCCTGATCTTCAACTTCCAAAGTAGATATGCTGATTGTCCTTTGGTCATGTGAACTAGCTGGGGTTGAACATTTTGCCCTTTGCCACCAAGAGTCCTCCCTGATGGAGACTGAGACTTGCCAAGGTCACATAGCTAGTTATAATTACAGATGGGGCAAGTGTCCAGACCTCCTACCTATCTGCTGCCTCCATGCCCCAAGAGGAGGCTGTGAGGAGGGGTCGGCAGGGGCCAGGAGACAGATTCTGGGGACAAATCTTGGCCGTGCATTTAGGAATAGAGACGTGGGGGGCAGGAGGCAGATGTTTGTCTACATGCCCCCTCCGGAAGGTTTTGAGCTGAGGTTCCTCACTTTTAGGGTGTCAAAAACCCTTTTAGAGAATCTCACGGAAGCACAGCTCCTCTTTTCCCAAAAACCAGCAGGACAAACAACATTTTATAGATGATTTCACAAGTTCACAGAAACTCCCACCCTCCCTACCCCCTCTTCCCACCATGATCCATCCTGGGGCCAGAAGTGAAGAATTTCTGATTTCTAAAACAGGAAAGTCAGAAGGACCCAGAAGCAGGGAACCTGGGGTCCAGGTTCAATCTATCCCCTGCTGATTCACGGTGGTGCAAGGATCTTTGGAGAAGGATAGACCTGGTTGAAGTCCAGACTGTGTGGCCCTGGGCAAGTTGCTTGCCCTCTCTGAGTCACGTCTATAAATTGAGAATATTCTCATCTATCTGGAGGGGTTTGGGAGGGGCTTTAGGTTCCATGATGTGCGCCACAGGCATACAGCCCATGGTAGCCACTCAGTAAATAGGAAGGGTCCCTCCTCTTTCAATTTCTCCATCTCTCTAGCAGGCCAGATGGCCTTGCCTCTACTCCTTTCGGAGTGAAGCACTCCTGAGGCCTAGATAACATGCACAGACCGTGATGTTTGCAGAGAACGTCAAGTGATCCATGGATACTGAAACCCACCCCAGGCCCCTAGGTTAAGAACTTCCGGCTGTGCACTCTCTGCCGTTTACTAATCTCCAGCGACAGCTTTCTTTCCAATGCTCTGGTTCCTTCCCACCCTAAGAGTCTCACACCTGCCATTCTCTCTGCCCAGAATGGTCTCAGGTCCCAGTTCTTGGTGTGGCTGCTTTCCTCCTGTCACTGAGGACTCAGCTGGAAAATGCACTCCCCATTGACCACCCATTTGAAAGGGCTGCTCCTCCCCCCTGTGATCCTCTAGAACATCATCGTGCTCTCTCTTTTCTGCAGCACTGTCAGGGTCTGGAAGTGCCTTGTGTGTGTGTCTTTTTAGTTGTCGAACTTGTGTCTCCTCACTAGGGCTTTCCATGTCTTTGTTGTCTTGTATCCTTGGGGGATAGTGTCAGACATAAAGTAAGAACTCAAAATATATTTGTTGAAGAGATCAATGAATGAGTGGATGAAGGGATGAATGAAGAGGTGGAAAAATAGATAAATGGAAGGATGATTGCTGATATGGATGGATAAATGAATAGATAAATAGATGGCTAAGGATGGATGGATGGATGGATGGATGGATAATAGTTGGAAAAATGGATGGATGGAAGGATAATGAGTGATGATGATGGATGAATAATGGATATATGGATGGATGGATGAGTGGATAGATGGATGGATGGGTCAATGAATGGTTTGATGGATGGATAAATATATTAATGAATGAACAGGTGGATAAGATGATAAATAGATGAAAGGATGAATTAATTAACAGATGGGTATATTAAAAGATAGATGGATGGAATGGTTTAATGGAGTTCAAAGATGAATGGGTGGATGGGTGGATGGATGGATGGGTACCTTAATGAATGAACAGATGGGTAAAAAGATGGATAATAGATGAAAGGATGAATTAATTACCTTGTGGGTAAATTAAAAGATAGATGGATGGATGGTTCAGTGGAGTTCAAAGATGAATGGATGGATGGATGGATGGATGGATGGATGGATGCATGATGGATGCTGGCTGGCGGGATGGATGGATGGAGGGAGGGAGGGAGGGATGGATGGGTGGATGGATGGATGGATGATGGATGGTGGATGGATGGATGGTGGATGGAAGGATGGATGGATGGATGGATGGATGGATGGATGGATGGAAGGATAAGTTAAAGGATGAGGTGATGAATGAATGTTTGCCAGACTCCAGGCTGAGCACTTTATACACATTATCTTGTTTTATTCACACAGAAATCCCATGAAGGCAGGAATATTTCCATTTTGCAGACAAGGGGCTTGAGCTTCAAAGGCAGGAAAAATCACTTCCCCAGGAAATGATGCAATAAGACTCAAACTTAGGTTGCCTGACTCCACGCCCTGTGCTCTTAACCGCCGTGAAAACCATCCTCCCCTTCTCCCTTGCTTTGAGACCCTGGCCCCCTCCTCATGCCCATGCCCCAACAGCACCCAGATTTCCCAGTCCAGCTTCCATGTCGCTCCATCATTAACCAATGAGATGGCCCCACAAGTCTGTGGGAGAGCACATGGGAGTGTGTGTGAGGTCTCTGCACACATGTGGGGGTGTAGAATAAGGTAATTGGGAAGCATGTCCATTCTCTCAGATGCTCCCCGAGCTCCAAGGACCAAGCCACAGTCTGAGGTCATTCAACGTAGATGCCAGGGACTCATGGCACCTGGCCATCCAGCCTCACCAGGTCATGTGACTTTGGAGAAGCAGTGATCGCAAAGGAGGAAATGAAAGCAAGCAGCAGCAGGTCATGGAGGGGAGCTCTGCCAGGCAGCCTCCCACCCTAGGATCATCAGGTTGCTGCACAGAGAGGTCATGAAGTCCATCCCCTGCCCTGGGGCGGGGCCGTGCAGGAGAAAGAGGGTGGAGCAAGGGAGCTGGAGGGAGGAACTCCTGGTCCAGGTCTGTCCTCCAGACACAGGTGAGTTGGCAGGTAGTTGGGTAGTCAAGAAGTCAGCAGAGCTCAGCATTTCTTGTTGTCACTACTGATTTCCACATAAGGCAGCCCCACTGGCCAAGTGTCCCGAGGCCAGTAGTGGACTTTGAGGGTTTTGTCTGGCAACTCGTACCTGGCGTCCAGCAAGGCCATAGTGACCATGCCATATGGGAATGTGACACTAATGAGCAGGTGCCTGTGGGATGCAGGGAGAGGATGGTGAAGGCACAAGATGCCCCTGCAGCCAGCATGATGCCTCCAGCACCCCCTCAGTCCTCTCCTTATTTCTCATAGATCCTGACCATTCACAGGGACCTTCTGGACCTGACCACTGACTGCAACCAGCATCCCGCACCCCCCACACCACCACCACAAGTCCTCGTATCTGTGCCTCCCTTCTCCGCCCCCAGGCTCCCACTGCAAGCTCTGGCATCTGAGATTTTCTGCTTCTGGAGCCCCAGACCACAGGGTGGGGGTTTACCAGATGCTGTGCAGGTAGAAAAAGTGAATCCGCTGCCAGAAACTGCAGAAGACGCGGTCGCTGACCCAGCTGGTAAAAGCAGAAGCCCATAACAGAATGGAGACCTCGATGACATGACAAAACTCCTTATTGCTGGTCCTAGGGAGAGAATGAGGGAGATCAGAGTCTGGCTCCGACAGCAGGACCTGAAGGGGTTGATGGGAAATTCCTCCATCCAAGGAGATGAGGCTGGGAGGAGGGAGCTAAGATGCACAGAGGAAGATGCCAGATCTGTGCTTGTTTCTGACGTTTGCTGTGCAGTTCCTACAGGGCACCAGGGGCCATTCTTAAAGTCCTTTTGATGGAAACTCAGCCCTCACAACAATGCGATGATGTCCATTTGGTAGATGAGGAAACTGAGGCATGCGTGATTAACTCATGCCCCCCCCCCCCCAGCTCCACCCCGAGGTGACACAGCTAGTCAGTGGCAGACTGGGATCTGAACCAGGTTTGGCAGATTCTTAACCCACAAGACCCTCCATGTTTGTGCGTTTGAGGTGTAAGTGTGTGCACACCTGGGGGTCCATGCACAAGCACGTACGTCTGTGTGGCTATGAGAACATGTATGTCTGTGTGTGGAGGGGACACTCTCTGGGCGCCGTGTCTTGGAACAACTCAAGATTAGAATCTGTGTTTCCACGACAGCTGAGCCAACTCAGTGTTGCTTGGGAAAGAACACATCGGGGATTAGCAGGCAGTATCTCCTTTATGATTAAAAGTGCAGCCTCTATCCACGAGCCTAGAATGGGACAGTTGGAACATCAAAAAAGAATAATGAGTAAGAACTGATGAAATCGGAATATAGTGTGTGTCTAGTTAACCATATTGTCCTGTTGCCGATTTCCTCCTTTTTTTTTTTTCTTTTCTTTTTTTTTTTCTTTTCTTTTTTTTTTTTTAAAGATTTTATTTTTTCCTTTTTCTCCCCAAAGCCCCCCGGTACATAGTTGTATATTCTTCGATGTGGGTCCTTCTAGTTGTGGCATGTGGGACGCTGCCTCAGCGTGGTTTGATGAGCAGTGTCATGTCCGCGCCCAGGATTCGAACCAACGAAACACTGGGCCGCCTGCAGCGGAGCGCGCGAACTTAACCGCTCGGCCACGGGGCCAGCCCCCCGATTTCCTCCTTTTGAGCTCGTCCTGTGGTCACATAAGGTGCTGCCATTCGGGGAGTCTGGGTGAACGGTACACAGGGCTCTTCTATTTTGGCAATTTGCTATGAGTCTGTAGTTATTTCAAAATAAAAAGTTAAAAGGATGGAATAATAAACTGCGATGGATTGAAACACTTCAGAGAAATAAATATCTATGAGTTCATAATAATATTTACAAAAAAAAAAAAAAAAAAAACACCTCATCGGTCCCTACTAGAGATGGCTAAGGCAAGAACTCAATCCTCTGGAAATTGATCAATAAAGGGAGAGAATCAATTCTCTATCTTGTCTTTCTTGTTCAAACTGTCTTTCCAGGTTGAAGAGCGCAAGTTCTTCTCGATCCAAGAACTCCAGGTAATCAATGCAGACGGAATAATAGAATCCACAAATCTCCATTTTGCAACCCCTAATGAGATGACGGATTGAGTCAGAGGGCATCAGTGGCTGTTGATATCATTCGATGAAAAGTGGGTAGAAATCTTTATCATGAAGGGACTGGATGACACCATCTGAATGCACTGATGAACCTTAACAGCACTCAATGTGGGATGACCGCTAATTATGAGGTCCTAATGGGATGGAACAAGAAATACCCAATGCTGCACATGAAATATTCTGGCTTAAAAGAAAATTTAAACCTAAATCTGTATCTAACTATCAATTTGCAGGAAATATCAGAAAATAAGGAAACACAATGAAAGATGCCACAGGAAGCAGTCAGCCAAATCCAGAATGTAGGAGGTTCTGCAGGGCAAATATCATGTTTCTATTACCAAATCAGAGGCGTGAAGAAATGGGGAGAGAGGGACTGTTATGAAATAAAGAAGACCTAAGAGACTGTGTTTGGATTCTTTTTTAAACAAGACCAGGTGTAAGAAGGCAACTTTAAGAAACTGAGGAAACATCGATGGGAACTGGGTAGTGGACACTATTTTAAGGAAGTATCGTTAATTTTGTCAGAAGTATGCATGCCATAGCTTTCATTTGTCCCTCTAGATCCTTCTCTACCATTATCCACTCTTCCCTAGGCCCCAGGGGACTAAGAATTGTGGACTGAATCCAGGGGCTCCCTTGTCTTGAGCTTCCAGTTGCGTTGGCCAATGGTTTTCTATTGGGTTGGCCAATGGTGTCCAGTTGGATTGGTCAATGGTTTCCAGTTGGGTTGGCCAATGGTGTCCAGTTGGATTGGCCAATGGTTTTCTATTGGGTTGGCCAGTGGTGTCCAGTTGGATTGGCCAATGGTTTCCATTTGAGTTGCCCAATGGTTTCCAGTTGGGTTGGCCAGCAGTGTCCAGTTGGGTTGGCCAGCGGTGTCCAGTTGGGTTGGCGAATGGTGTCTAGTTGGGTTGGCCAATGGCTTCCAGTTGGGCTGGCCAATGAGGAGCCCCAGCAGGAAACCAAAGGGTGGAGGGAGAATATTTATTTCCAGAGTTCCTTCCTTGTGGGGTTGGCTCAGGCTGGCTGCAACCAACAACTGGAGGTCACAACTCCTGCCACAGAGACCCTCTCCATGGGCTCTCTCCTTCCAGATTCCTGCAATCACTGCCTCCCTTCAACCCCCATCTCAGGTCTCCTGAGGGTAATAAAATCTCACTCTATTAGCACAAGGGTTCTAAATGATCCTGAGTGACTTTCCTACACCCTGCCTTCTCTTTTGTGAGTAACTCTTTTCCTCAACTCTCCTCAAATGGCCCTCAAATTTGAGAGCCTGCCCCCATCCTACTAAGACCTGGCATGAGGTAAAAAATAATAATTCTTTATCAGGATAGTGAAATCCTGAAAAATTAATAGGTGACACTATATAAAGTGGGGGGGGGGGATATATTAATGCAGATTGACAAAATGCTGATGGTTGTTGGGGCTGGTTAGTGGGCACTTGTAGATTTATGGTGCAATGCTTTCTGTTTGTATGTATGTTTGGGGTTTTCATAATAAAAAAGGCCAGCTCTGCAGTCAGAAAACCTTAGGTTCCAATCCTGGCCCTGCCCTTAGCTGGTGAATGATCTTGGGGAAGGGACATCCCTTCTTTGAACCTGGAGTCAAGGAGCATTCCATTCCCGGAACACAGTAAGTATTGGGGGGTGCTTGAAAGGGGGATGGGAGCCACCTCCCCAAGCACCTGCAGCCACCACTCACTTCCTGTACTCCTGGAACGCAATGTAGACGATGTGCAGGGCAATGACGTTGAGGACGTACGCATTGATCGTGGGCTTCAGGAAGGACAGGAAGGTACTGACCACGGTGGTGATGAAGACCAAGTTGGTGAACTGGGACCTGGGGGGAAAAGGGTTCCGCTGTGGGTGGGTGGGTGGGTGGGGGACTCAGGGGGGCTTAGGCAGGGTCTGGAGATCATGTGGCAGAGGTGGATGAGAAAGGGGAAGAGATGCCAAGGACTCAGAAAAAGGTCTTGAGGCTCCCAGCTGGGCTCAGCAGAGGGTCCTGGGGCCCAGGTGAGTCAGTGAAGGGTCCCCGAGCTCAGGTGAGGTTAGGCAAGGAATTCAGGGGTGCCCAGGGGGATTAAGGAAGGAACTCCAGGGATGCCAGAGGCTATCAGGAGAGGGATCTTGGAAGGCTCAGGTGGGTCAAGAATGGCCAGGATAGAGATTCGGGGGAGGGGGGTCTGAGGTCAAGAGAAGGGCCCAGGAGGATCAGATGCAAGATTCCAGGGATCCCAGGGGAGATGCTCAGGGGAGAGGTCTTGGGGGCCCAGGGAAGCTTAGGCATGGGGTCCCAGGACCCCCATGTCGGCACAGACAGGGTCTGGAGAAGGTCCCAGGCTATCCAGGTAGGATCAGAGGAGAATTCTCAGAGGTCCCAAGTACAATCAGAGGAGGGGTCCCTGGAGACCCAGTTAAGTCAGGCAGGGTCAGGAGAAAGTCCGGGGGTGGTCGGAGGAGGGATTCCCAGCCCCCCAAGAGGGCTTGGGGAGGGGACCCAGGAGCCCAGGTGGAGTCTGGCAGAGTCAGCAGAGGACCAGCCCCCACCCCACCTGTTTTCCCTGAGGAAGGCGGGAAAGTAGCAACGGGGCAGCCAGATGCTGTAGCCACTGGCCAGCAGCCACAAGATGGAGATCTCGTCCAGCAGCTGGCCCAGGAAGCTGAGGGTCATGTGGAAGTACATGGAGAACAGGCCTGGAGCGAGAGACAAAGGCAGGTGGTCAAGAGGGCTGTCCCTTCCAGCCCCCGCCGCCCCGCTGTCACAGACCCCCACCTACCTATGACTATGAAGAGGATACAGAAGACGTAAATGCTGCAGGAGCGTTTCTGCGCATAGGGGTGCATCAGATACATCATGAGAGGCCCAAAGATGAAGAAGGGGATGTTGCTGAACTGCAGACAAGGACACAGGGAGGGGGTTGTCAGACAGGGAAGGCGGAGGAGGGCTGCCCCTCTGGCCAAACGCTCAGTCCGTAGCCAGTTGGTCGCCAGCCCCCTTTCAGCCTTGACAGTCAAGTGGTCATCAATAGATCCATTACTCCATGCATTATTATCTGGGTTCATTCATTCATTCAATGAATGTGGCAAAGACTATCGACAAACCTTCTCCACCTATTCTCCCCCTTTTCCTTTTAGAAATAGTATCCCCCAAGTTTTAGCTGGGCACACAGCCACTCCACTAAAGACTACATTTCCCAGCCTTCCTTGCAACTCACAGCGCCCGTGACCCGGTCTGGCCAATAGGATAAGAATGTAAATAGAATGAACCTATTACTTCCAGGTCAGTCCTTACAAAGCAGCTTAAGGCTTGCCCTCTACTTCCTGTGGACCGAAATGCAAAGGTGATGGCCAAGAATTGGCCTCGGCCTTGTAGACAAGGAAAGGCAATGAGATAGCCTGATGACTCGCTTCTAAGAAACGACGTGAAGCAGAGTGATGCCGCGTGACTTCCGAGGTTAGGTCCTAATAAGCACTGTGACTTCCAGCCGACTCTCTCTACTTAGAACATGAGCTTTTAGAGCACTGGGCCACCATGCAAGAAGACTGAAACCCTTGAAGCTACCGGGCTGGAGAGACCACATGGAGAGACCACAGAGAGATCGCGAGAGATGCTGGAGGAGCCCCGGCTGTTCCAGTCCCCAGATTGATTCTTCCAAGCCCAGCTGCCCCACACATGAGCGAATGAACCTTCAGTTGATTCCAGGCCCCTCCCCTCGGCTTTTGAGTCACCCCAACTGATGCCAAGTGGAGCAGAGATGAGCTGTCCCTGCCAAACCCTATTTAGATCACGGACTCATGAGCACAATAAAAGTTGTCACTGTTTCAAGCCACTAAATTTTAGGGTGTTTTGTTATGCAGCATTAGCTAGCTGAGACAAAGAGGAAATATTATTGTGGGCTGGGGTGGCTAGGAAAGACTTGCTGGGATAGGAGGAGGGGACATGGAGGCCAGTAGGTATGGCTACGCCCTGTTCAGAACTCCCTGATGGCAAAGCTATGCTGCTTGATAAGGTCACCTGTGGATCAGTCAACTGTCTCCCCATAATTAGACACCTGCTGTGTTCTAGGCCCAGGCAAGCCTTATTATTCCCAGAACCTTATCCCATCCTCAAAAGCACCCCTCCAGGTGGGTATTAGCAGAATCACATTACAGAAGAAGATACTGATGCTCAGAGTGGTCAAATGGTCCAATCCAGGTCACCCAGCCAGTAAGTGGTGAATCCAGGATTTGAACCCAGATCCCATGTGGATCTCTCATGGGAAGGCCCAGAGTCCTGTCTGTCACAGCAGCAGAAACTGTTTCACAGGCCTCCACCGAGGTTTGATGACTAACACAAGTCAAAGTAATAAATAGCTATGACCAGCAAGAATATGGCGATTCTGGTCGAGCATGGGAATTAAGCACTCCACCATGATCCTCCCTTCTTCCGCATTAACCAAACTGTGATTTGATTCAGTATCAGGAGGACATGTCCTTCTGGGGAAGCAAGCCCCAGACCCAGGAAGGGAGTAACCACCAGGGCTAATCTGATTCTCTCATTCCTCTTTTGTAATATGGCTGCTCAGCTAAAGACTACATTTCCCAGCTTCCCTTGCAGCTACACATGGCCATGTGACTAAGTTCTGGCCAATGAGACATGAGCAGAAAGGATAAGAGCGGTTTCCTGGTTGTGTTCTTAAAGGGAAAGACGTGCCCACTCCTTCCTTGCGTGCTACTGGAGTGCAGATGTGGTGGGGTAGCTTCTTGGACCACATAGATGAGGACAATGGCCTGGAGATGATAAAACAATGATATAGAAGGAGGCTGGGCTCCTGAAACCATAGAGCTTTCACACCAGCCCTGGGAAGCTTATGATTGGGTTCTGCATTCAGAAATAAACGTCTGTCTTCATTAAACTACTTCTGTTTTAGATCTCTGCTACAGCCTCTGAACCCATATCTTAAGTTATATATACCCCGTTTCTTCCTTACTAAATAAACCCCAATTTTTTTTCAGGCATCAGGAGGACACAGCCTTCAGGAAGGCAGGATTTAGTCCCAAAGCAAAAGTCATCCTCATTGCCAAGGATTGGTTAAGGAATGAATGTGTGATACAATTCTGGGCAATGGAACATGATGGAAGATGTGATGAGGGACTTCTGGGAAAGTTCTCTTTACGGAAATCAGGCCCAGTGAAAAGGCCTTCGGACACTGTCATGATGTTTAAGATGTGGCAGCCATTTTGTGACCATGAGGAAACGAGGCTGAAAGCAAAAACAAATAGTCAGGGACAGTGGTTGTCAAAATTCTTGGTCTCGAGACCCTCTTATATTCTTAAACATTATCGAGGATCTCAAAGAGCTTTTGTTTACATGAGCTGCGTCTATCAAGATTTACTGTATTAGAAATTGAAATCGAGAAATTTTCAAAACACACGACTATGCAAGCACACATTCCCTTGGTCATCAAAGAGATGATGCTGTCACATGTCATGTGGCCACTGGAATATTCCATCGTACCCTTGTGAGATAATAAGAGTGAAAAAGGCAAATAATATCTTCACATTGCTTTGAAAATAATTTTGACCTCAAGAAACCTCCAAAAGGGTCTCAGGGACCCCCGGGAGTGCCTGGACCATATTTCGAGAACGACTTCTCGGGGAATAGCAGAGCAGAAAGATGGAAAGAAGCAAGTAACTTGATGACTTTGGGCTGCCGAATTGACCTTTTCCAGAACCATCTACCTCCAGACTTCCACTTAAAAAAATAATAAGATATTGTCCCTTCTGGTGAAGCTGTTTTCAGTTGAGTGTTTCATTCGAAACCAAAACACCCCAATGAATGGGCCTTGGGATCCAAGTGACGAGGGATTTGATCCACGTTCCCTTGCCCACTGTATGTGGGGCTCTGAGAAGGTACCTTCAGTCCCCAACCCTCCATCTCCGCATTTGTGACATACGCATAAGCCACGGCCTCTTCGTGTTGTTGACCCAGAAGTCCCCAAGCCTCACCGGCCAAGTCCAATTAGAGTCTCAAGAACATTTGCACCCGAATTTGAAAGTCCCGAATTTCTGACACAGGACTTCAACGCCCCTCAGAGTCTCTCCCAGATGTGTCTGGGCCGCAGGACGTTCCACATGAGCTCAGAAACGAGTGTTTGCGTGGTTCTCTCGCCTGCCAACTTGAGGTCAGCCAGCTTGCTTGCTCAGTGACAGCGCCCTCCCTAAGAAAATCTTCCCCTTGTCAACTTCTCAGTTGCCTGTGTCCCATCTTAGAAAGTGAAGAAACAGCTCTCTGTGCATTAGGGCGTCCTGTTATTTCTCGGCACCCTGGTCTGAAGGATGCTTACTCAACACTGCAGAGCACGGTCATGGTTGTGGGGAAACCATTCGCCACACAAGGTCACCTCCTACAAGCCTGTAGGCACCTGTGCAGGCCCCCAAGGCAGGAGGCCTCCGGGGTCCAGGGAAACCCACAGCTCTCCTTGGGTGATGACAGAACCAGGTCAAAGGTCGCGATGTAAGCATTCCGCCACGGCAAACTGGTTTCTCAGCTCGTGGTTTCACCCATGTCCTTGGTTTCATGCTAAGGTCTATGGTACCCACCGATGGCCAAGGTCAAACACGTCTCTGGGGCAGCCACCCAGTTCACAGTGGCTACCCTAGAACTCTGAGGTCATCCCCCACTTGCCCTTCTAGTCCATCAGACCCCACCCCAGTGGAGTAGACACCTGTATCCCAAACCAGGCCATTCAGATTTTCTCTCTTGGGAATTTGAAACTGGGAGCAGACACAGAGCCTGGGAGTCACCAAGAGTGGGTCACACCATTGGCAACTCTCTAAAGAGGCCTTGGGATATTGTCACAATGTTTAAGACATGGCAGCCACCTTGCCACCATGAGGAGGCAAGGCTGAGAACAAAAGCAAATACTCCAGGGAGGTATTTGGCCTTCTTCTGAATCCATCACATATGCCCTGGGTCCCAGCCGTCCCAAGCAACTTGTCTTTCCGTTTTCGGAGCTATCTCAGTATCTTTCCAGTGCATTCTCTCTCTCTCTCTCTCTCTCTCTCTCTCTCTCTCTCTTTTTTTTTTTTTTTGCCTAAGCTAACTTTTTATTGCTTGAATCCAACAAAACCAACACCATTTGTATATTAGTTATGGTTCTTTGGGAACGAGCAACAGAAGATGATTCTGGTGAACTTACCATGAAGCTAAATGTGTGTATGCGTGTGTAGTTACTTCTTTACTTTATTCATTCACTTATTCCCGGGAGCTCATTCATCAAAGGAATTGCAGAAGACAAGGAAAACCAGAAATCAGCACAGCTCTGAGCCTCGAAGGGACGTTCTCTTCAGGCGGCAACTTTGGGCACGAATGAAAACGACTGTGTTCAGTCTTACAGCCAGGCCCAAGATTCGAATTCTGGAGAGTGTAGCCGGGGCCACACCCCGTCGAGACCATAACCAGGAGGGAGGGTCAGTTGGCTGCTGATGGGCGAATGGGGCCATGGCTACAGAATGGACAAAATCCCAAACAAGCCTGATTTGCCCTCTGCCTTCGACCAAACGCCAGCTCTTGGGCAAATCAACGTGTGCCTGAAGGTGCATAGCCAGCCAGTCTCACAAACTCTAGACCCTCCGTTTAAAACTCTTAATCTTGGTTCATAAACTCCCTCCATTACTCATCTCTCTCCATCTTCAATTTTATCATCAGAGTGAAAGGCTAACTCAGTTCCTCCGAATGAACCGTACTGACTCTTACCTCCAGGAGTTCGCACATGCTGTTCCCACTGCCTGGAACGCTTTTCCTCCCCACTTACCCGTCTTTGCCAGGCCATCTTTCCCCCGGGCATCACTTTCTCCGTAAAGCCTTCCCAATCCCCCAGGGCAGGTGAGGACCCCCTGCCTGCATCCGT